CTACTTAGAAAATGGAGCTGATCTGATGTTGCAAGGTATGATTTTTGCCGTTCCAAGAGTGTTCTTCCCTTGATTACATTTTTTTTACAAGGCTACTTTATCTTGATTTCTTGGATTTTTTGCTCGCTTTGCGCGTTATATCTATCGTTTTATCATAATTGTTTTTATCCGCTTTCCTCAATAACGTCGAAGTGCCTGACTATTCCAAGGCCTTATTCTTCGACGAGCTTTATCTATTTTATAGGATTGATGCAGAAAGAATTATTACCCTTGTACGAACTCAACCGTGGCGATGCCGTTACGATCGCCATCACTGCTGGCGGCAAAGTGATGGGACCTATGGCAGTAGGAGTGACGCTGATGTCCTCCCAAGAAATGGTAGCGAACAAGTTTGAGGTAATTTGCTTGAACTTCTAGGCTAGGCAAACGTCTTATTAGCTGTTTTAGGGCAAGGGCGTTCAGATTTTGCACCTTTACCGGGACCTTTTGTGGTAAGTTGTTCTATGCTTTCATCATTCCGTGTTTGGCTATATCAGATGGGCAGGTCTTTCCGAGTTTTTGGCCGTTTTTTATTTTGATGTTTCATCCCATTGACAATCTTCGCGAGATTCACTGACATTGAAACTTATTAATGCAGTTGCATATGACATCATAATCCAAGCCTAAGATTCCGTGAGAGTTCGCTCAAAAGCCTCAACAGCGATCAAAGGCGTTCAAACTTCTTCTTCCTCTCTTCTCATTTTTCAATCCCCACACGCGTTCCGCGCTAACCAAAAAGCGCCAGGCTAGCGCGGAACAGGATGAGAAAAGATGGAGAAATGTGAAATGACGAATGTCAAGCAAATTTGACCTTTGGGCGGTTTTAAACCCTTTTGAGCGTCTTTGAACGAAGTCTGACAGGAGTCTGGTCTTAGGATTATCCAAAGACTTCAAAGGTTCGCACAGATTCCTATTTCGTGCGCTTCGACGCCATATGCTACACTGATATCTATAATTATTTAGGGAGTTCGGATCTCGCCTTGCTCCGCCTGTGCATGAGCTCGTGAACGTTTTCAATCCCTCAGAAGCAAAGCCTGCGACATCCGATGCAAATGATTTCCCTCCACTTGGCTCTCTTTCTGTCAGAGATGGTCAAGTGGACGCTGCTGTGCATGGTAATTGCGGAAAATTCATCTCTAACTGGGAGATGTTTATTGTTTAAAGATCCTCCTCATGCTTCCGATGGGCAAGAGGCGGAACACATTGATGATGATGCTAGTAAGGAAGAGCAGCAGCCAGAGGAACCAATGGATGATCTCGTAAGTTGTGTTGTAATCTGCTCCACGACGAAGGCGGTTGCCCTTCAAGGTTGAAAGGCCCTGACGCGCATGCGGCGCACGCAATCTATTTGGGCGACCGCCTTCGTCATGGAGCAGACTA